TTTTTTTTTTTTTTGCGAGAGGACGGGATTCCTCCGCCGTTGTGGGAGAAACGGTTAAAGGGGGAAATGACTAGGAGTGAAATTACACAAAATGGAATGACATGCGGAGGAAAGACACGAATTGCAGCGAAGCACCAATGCAGAGGTGGAGGGGAGGACCCTATAAAAATGTGTATGTGTGTGTTTCTTGGCTCACATGCAATAATGAGGAAGGTCCTCATAGAGCCGGGGATGACATTTGAATGTGCATGTGGAGACACATTCGGGAAACTCGTCCTCTCGAAAGACGCTGTTGTTGTTGTTGTTGTTGCTACTGCTGCTTCCCTTTTTTTTTCACTGGGGGAGGGAAGTTTCTCAGGACATACAAAAATGGGAAAAGGGAAAGTTCAATTAAAAGGAAGGTTGACAGCCCGCCGTTACAATTTATTTTTTTTTTTTTTTTTTTTTTGCAAATAGCGCAGAGTGGGAAACTTCATTTGAATAGCTACACATGTGCATACCTTTGGCTCACACGATTTCTTGCATGTTTGCTCCCCGCGCTCTTCGTTCTTCACCTGTTGACCCCAAGTTGTGTTTTCCAACATGCGCGGAGAGACAACATCATTGGTTTCGCCAAGCTGGTTTATATCCCTCCCTGTTGTTGACAAACCGTCGCACACAAATGGAGGGGGGCATTTGGCAGGAGTTGGTAAAATTAAAAAAAAAAAAAAAAAAAAAAAAAAAAACGGAAAAGTGATATAGCAACAAATGGTGTAGCAAAAACGATGCAGCAAAATGTTACAACCAAATATTGTAAACAAAACAACAAGACACAATGCTCAATTAAAAACCCATCGAATGCAAACAACTCTTAACTTGGGACAAAAAATTTGATTTTCAGAAGACGGACACAAATCATGCTTGCTGTCCTCACGGAGCTTATTTTATATATACAAACATAACTATATACATATATATATGTACATTTATTTGTATATTTTTTTTTTTTTTTTTTTTTACGAACATTGTCCACATTGCTGACATATTCACGACGAGTTTTATTTTGTTTTACTTCATTTTTTTTTTTTTGGTCCCCCCTTTTTGTTGCTGTCCTTGTGAAGACAATTTTCCTACAGGAGTGTTTCCCCCCTTTGGCCAACTGTTTTTGTATGTGTTCGCGCAGGGCTTGCTTTCCCCTCCCCCCTGAAACACACTTGGGAAAGCGTAGCAGTGTCACCATTCCGAGGAGCTCTGCTACGAAAGGAACACCATGGTGCATGCAGGAAGGGACTCAGGAAAAGCGGAAAAACATAAAGAGGAGGTCAACGCAGTGAAGCGCACAGACACTCTCAATGTAGAAAAGAACAGAGCTGGAGGCAACTTACCAAAGAAGAATTGCAGCTCGGAAGGCCACATAAACTTCAAAGGAGAAAGTAACGAATTTTCTGAACTAGCCAAAGAGAGTAAATCTTCTTCCATGGATGTGGGCTTGGGTTCTGCAGCTTCAGATGAGCCTTCCACTCTGTCCAAGGCAGGTAAGGAGAATCAACATCCGATGCGAAGTACCGACCACGACTCGCATGGGAGCTCCCCCTCTCTGTCTAAGAAGAACAGCAAGACATTCAGTGTGGATCATTCAGAAAAGGAAGCTTGTAATGATATGAAAAAGAAAATGAAAGAAGACCGTAGTGAGGGTGTAAACGGGAAAGCAGAAAGACAGAAAAGTCTTGGGTCGAATGTAAAAGAGGAGGGACCCCACGCTAAGGCAGACCATAGAAGGGATGAGAACAGGAGAGACGCACATGGAGAAGAGGTCACAAGTCATGAAAAAGGAAAGGCACCAAAGAAAATAAAAAACGTTAATGAGTATCTCTTAGAAAGAAGAAGCAGCCAAAAAATCACCGTCTTTGTGGGGGAAAAAATGCAAAAGGCGAAAGCGGATTTCAAGTACGGTGAGGATCCACATGCGAATGTGACTTGTAGGACAGACGGGGATGACATGAATGGAGGTTCTCATGTGGAAGTTAGCCAGGACCCGCAAGCAGTCAGTGAACAGAATAGGGTCATTGAAAAGAAACAGAAACAAACAGTGTTCACTGCACAGTTGTGTAAGCGAAGTAACGCCGATGCTAGGGCGTGTGAAGAACTTGTTAAGGAGAAGCCTAAGAAAACGATTTTTGAAGCACAGCTGTGTAAGAGGAGTAGTGCAGATGCAAGGGCTTGTGAGGAGCTATACAAGAGACAAGAAAAAACGATTTTCGAATCGCAGCTGTGCGAAAGAAGCAACGCTGATGCGAGAGCAGGTGAGGAGCTAACCAAGAAAAACCCTGAACAGACCATCTTCGAAGCACAACTATGTGAACGAAGCAATGCTGATGCTAGAGCGGGTGAGGAGTTAGCTAAGAAGCAAGAGAAAACGGTTTTCGAATCGCAGGCCAGCCTTACTAGCAAAGCCGACGCGAGGGCTTGTGATCGATTGGAGGATAAGCTTGGCGGAGAGAGCGTGGTGTACGAGGCGCAGAAGTGTGTAAACAGCGTTGCAGATTTTAAGTCTTCAGACAAGATAAAGGAGGTGATGAAGAGGAACATGGCAGATGAGTGCCACTCATTGTGAGGGGGGGTATCAATCATCCCCTTACCATTTTGACCCCCTCTCTTTTTTTTTTTTTTTTTTTTTTTATCCTTTTTGTTAAAACTGTTTTTAATGCCCTTTTTTTTTTTGTAACTTTCTTACTTGTGTTTAATTGTTATTTTAGAAGTTTTGGTTTTGGCTGAGGGTGAACCCGGTGCGCGCATGCAAAGGTGCACACAAAACAAAAAAAAAAAAATGGCACAGGCGCTAGCGGCCAGGTGTGGGGCAAACAGAACAAGAGTATAACATATGCATACTGGCGTAACGCATGCCGACACGCACGCATTTTCTATCCCTACCACGGAGGACACACGCCTCTTCAGTAGAGGCTAACAGAATCTTCCGACGTGATACGGTAACTGTTAAGCATGAAGAGGTTGGTGGAGGACAAGTCCACTTGGTCTATCAAGTCGCAATTATTCAACAGGAGTTTCTTCTCTTGGGTTCTATTTTGCATAAGCATTAGATTTAGGAGATAGTACTTATAATCGAAATGATCTTTTCTCATTCCTGCATCTGCATGTATGAACCCGTTTGTGTTTTCTTCCTTTCCTGATGAGTCTTCCCCGTGTGGAAGTTTGGCTGCATCATCTGTTTCGTCTTTTAATGGACTTGGTTGCTGTTCCTCTTTTTCAGGATCCTTCTTGGTGAATCCGGTGAGAATAGAAAGTGGGTTCTTAAGTCTGCTCTTCATTAATTGCATGAAGTAGCTGTTTGTGTTTTCCTCCGGCTCAGCATTTGTGTCTGCCCCCTGATCGTTCTCGTCTTTGTCCTCACCCGGGGTACCTCCTCCCTGCTGCACCCGTTTAGCATCTTTACTTACAAAGAGACTTTCATTCAATGGTTCATCATCGGGGAGAAGGAATCGTTCATTCCTCTTCTGCACACATGTAGATAAGTCTTCAGACAAGATAAAGGAGGTGATGAAGAGGAACATGGCAGATGAGTGCCACTCATTGTGAGGGGGGGTATCAATCATCCCCTTACCATTTTGACCCCCTCTCTTTTTTTTTTTTTTTTTTTTTTTTTTTTTATCCTTTTTGTTAAAACTGTTTTTAATGCCCTTTTTTTTTTTGTAACTTTCTTACTTGTGTTTAATTGTTATTTTAGAAGTTTTGGTTTTGGCTGAGGGTGAACCCGGTGCGCGCATGCAAAGGTGCACACAAAACAAAAAAAAAAAAATGGCACAGGCGCTAGCGGCCAGGTGTGGGGCAAACAGAACAAGAGTATAACATATGCATACTGGCGTAACGCATGCCGACACGCACGCATTTTCTATCCCTACCACGGAGGACACACGCCTCTTCAGTAGAGGCTAACAGAATCTTCCGACGTGATACGGTAACTGTTAAGCATGAAGAGGTTGGTGGAGGACAAGTCCACTTGGTCTATCAAGTCGCAATTATTCAACAGGAGTTTCTTCTCTTGGGTTCTATTTTGCATAAGCATTAGATTTAGGAGATAGTACTTATAATCGAAATGATCTTTTCTCATTCCTGCATCTGCATGTATGAACCCGTTTGTGTTTTCTTCCTTTCCTGATGAGTCTTCCCCGTGTGGAAGTTTGGCTGCATCATCTGTTTCGTCTTTTAATGGACTTGGTTGCTGTTCCTCTTTTTCAGGATCCTTCTTGGTGAATCCGGTGAGAATAGAAAGTGGGTTCTTAAGTCTGCTCTTCATTAATTGCATGAAGTAGCTGTTTGTGTTTTCCTCCGGCTCAGCATTTGTGTCTGCCCCCTGATCGTTCTCGTCTTTGTCCTCACCCGGGGTACCTCCTCCCTGCTGCACCCGTTTAGCATCTTTACTTACAAAGAGACTTTCATTCAATGGTTCATCATCGGGGAGAAGGAATCGTTCATTCCTCTTCTGCACACATGTAGATGCAGTTTTGGAAATGGGTTCTACACAAAATTCGTCCTTAGATGTGAGGATGAAATTTCTCATGTTGCTTAGAAGGTCTGACTGGTCCTCTATAGATTCATCATTTTTTACGGGTTCTGAAATGAAGTGCATCTGCCTGTTCATGCGTTCTTGTTCACGTAACTTGTACGACATTTTCTCCTTAAAGGAAAAAAGTGTACTCTCCTGGATTTGTGCATTTGTTTTATTTGCCATGGGTTCTGCTTGGGCAAGGGGATCCTTCTTACTGCTCTGTACACAAAGTGGTATCAGATGCAAGGCGTCTGCGATTATATTGGTTTGTTTCCGTAGCTGATCTTCCAACCATTCATGTAATTTTTCTTCCCGTGTTAGAGCTTTCCTGTTGTTGCCCTGCGTGCCTACCCCTTTCGCACTTCCCCCATCAGCAGCAGCGCGTTCATCATTGTCCTCTCCATCCAGTGCATCGCTGTGATCTTCCCTCCTGTAATCGTTCATACGATTTTCATCAACAGAACCCGTTGGGTCTATCTCGGCACGGAAGGAGGAGGCACCCCTTTCGTGGAGTCCACCAGGATGAGGTTTGCCACTGCGTGCATCATAATGGGAACTCCATGTTGGATCCATATCGTAGGTGTGTCCTCTTAACACATTTCCATCTTTACTCATAGATGTAGAACCCATAATATTATTTCTATTGAAAGATTCACCAGCAGTGAGGTGGTAGTTCGAACTCCAACCATCTTCATTTGCATCTGGGTAGTTCATCATCATGGAGGTAGTAGCAGCAGTAGTAGTAGTAGCGGGGTTGCCGGTCAGCATATTCGCACCACTCATCCCGGCTCCCATTCCCCATGCCATATTAGGGCCACTCTTTGAATGAACCGCATTGTTAGGAAACCTAAGGGGGAAGGATGCATTTGAGGGAGGACCTAACGAGGAGGAGGATACCCCTCCCATTAACAAATGATTGTTTGGTGGTGGCCTCCCCATCTCTTCATAATAATTATTCATGCCACCTGCATTAGCCATGTTAACACGTGGAGCACCAGCAGACGAATGGACAGGAAATATACTTTCCTCACGTGCATCTAGTACATCGTCCACATTGTAAGGAGGAGCATTATTGTTCATATTATAATTTCTACTTAGTGGGTTCATATTTGTGTTTAGCGGAATATTATTAGCATTGAGGGAGATGTAGTTTGGGTTTCCTGAACCTCCTTTATCTAGCATCTTCATGTTGTTCATTTTTTGTGTGTTCGTTAGGAGGGAACTGTTTGAATTAGGAAAGTTTGTAAATGGGGGTGGAGGATTTACTCCTGTTCGATTTATTAGTGGGTTCTGGAACCGAGACATGTTAGATGCACCAGGTGGGTTCGTCGGTGGACTTGGTACGTTGGGCACACCTGGTGGGCTGGGTTGTGTGTCCGTGAAAAGTATCCCTTTGTTCATGTCCTCGTCTGGTGGAGGTGGAATCCCATTCATCATCAAGTCTGTGTTCATATTATTTACCCTTGTGTGTTCGAAGGGTGTATTATCCTTCGCATCAACCATATCACCATGGAGGTTGTTCTTCTGCCCCTGTGCCTTTTTCATTTGTCTCATCGGGGGGGTCTCCAGTAAGGGAGGGGGTCCTCCGCTTTGCATGAAGTTAGGGTTATTAATATAATTGGGGTTGTTAATAAAATTAGGGTTGTTAATATAATTAGGGTTGCCCATAAAATTAGGGTTATTAATCATGTTAGGGTTTGTCTGAACATCGTTCGCACGCAGTAGGAGGCCTTTCCTACCCCCTGCCGTGGTGGTCCCGCCCATCCCACCATAAGCTCTATTGTCTGCGTAAGGTGGTGGGGGAGCGACCATGTTGTTCGGATCCCCAGGAGTGCCACTTGCCTGTGACATTTTATTTGTTTGAAGAACAAACTCTGCAGATTCTTGCGGAACGTTATTATTAGCTCCGACGTTGCTGCTGCTCATCATGTGTGCGGCTTCACTGTTTATATTGTTTGGGTTCGCAGTTGTGTCACTTGGATCGGCTGGCCCTTCCCCAAATGGGTTGTTACCGAGGTTGGTAGTGTCGAGGTTGCCCATGGCTAGCATCGACTGATTGAACATATTTTGCTGGTGGTTCGGGTGGAGCAGTAGACCGGGGTCATACAAATTTTCATTCGCAAACAGAGCTGCATTCTTATTCTTCATGTTCCTCATTTTCTTTCCCTTCTTCCCTTTTTTCCCTCCCCTTCCACTTTTCGTTCCTTTCATTTTATAATCTCGCAGATTCATATTTTTCCTGTTTCCGAGGTTCATTTCATCATGGTAAAAGAATGGACCGTTTGGAAGGCTGCCATTCCTCATTAGGTCTCCTCCTAATGTGGGGTCATACCATGGGCTGTTAGGATTGAGCAAGCCACCACCAGGAGGGGGGAGTGGGGAATTCAAAGCATTTTTCTCTTCACAAAGAATGCTACCTTGCATGTTCATATTTTCTTCCGAGTCGACATTCCTCCTGAACCCATCATCCATGGGATGGTATCCTATGTCGTTGAAAAGCAACCCACTGGTAGCACTTCTGCTGTGTGTATTTATTAGGTTTGGGTTTCCACTGAACATATAATCATCATTTGTGTTTCCTTTAGGATCAAGTCTGAGGTGATAATCGCTCGTGTCGTTTCCTGTTCGCCTGTACCTTTCTTCGTCGTAGGGGTTGCCTGATGGGGTTTTTCCGTGGCGACTTACGCTTCGCCTGGGACGGCGCCTGTCGTCCGGGGATGCTGAGGGGCGCCTCCTGCTGCGGTCTCGGCTTCTACCTCGGTCGCAACTCCTACCCCGGTCGCGACTCCTATCCCGATCGCGGCTTCTACCCCGGTCTCGCTCCCCATCCCTCTGCACGCGATTCGCCTGGGCGTTCCTGTCCCGGCTCCTCCTATGCCCGTGGCTCGGAGAGCGCCTGTCGCGGCCGCTCCTCTCAGGTGCGCGGGGCGAATCATCGTGCGTCCTGTGTGGGTCCTTTTTGTCTGTGTTTTTTTTCTTAGCATGTCTTCTGTCCTCCTGGTGTGTTTCGTCGCGCCTCTTTTCATCATGGCGCCTGTCCTCGTTGCGCCTTTCATCCGTCTTCACCCTTTTCCGCCTTTCATCATCCCCCTTCCTGTGCCCACTCTCCACGTCGTGTTTCTTCCTGTCATGCGCCCTTTTACTCTCGCTTTTGCCATCACTGTTTCTTCTTTCCTCGCCCCTTCGCCTCTCTTCATGTTTTTTGTGGGTGCTCCTTGCCCTATCGCTTTGTCCCTCCTCGTGATCATCGTCGTACTTGCTGTGGTGGTTTTTCCTCTTCATATTTTCTGCCCCGCTGTGATTGGGAGATGCACATAAAGAGAGCGTGTCCGTTCAGCAAAAGCGACAAGATAGTAGTCAGACGTGGAATCCCTCTCTATCTGGTACGCTGCTAACAGATGAAACAGGAGGGGGAAATGCCTGCACGTTGGCACAAAAGGGTGCTAGCCTTTTTTTTTTTTTTTTTTTTCCTTCTTCCCCTTCTTCACGTGGAAACGAAGTAGATAAATAAAAATGGTGAGGCAAATGAAAAGTATCCCCCCGGCAGGGTACCTATCACTGACAAACCCTTCACGCGGAATATCCTGTCAGCTATATTAAGCATATATACATAGCAATTTCTATACGGAAGGGATGAAAAAAAAAAAAAAAAAATTCACAGCGTTGGTTGGTATGTAAAGATGGCACATAATCCTGTAGCAATATCTACCAAGTTATCGCTCAGTGGCCACTTTTTTTCCCCACATCCAACGTGGTCACAGAAACAAATGAAGGGGAAAACAAAAAAAAAGGGGCTAATCAAATGATATAAATAGGTTGCCCTTTCCGTTGTTTAAAAAAGCGTTTTACCCCCAAAAAAAAAATAATAAAAAAAAAAAAAAAAAAAAAAAAAAAAAAAAAAAAAAAAAAAATATGAACGAAAAAATAGCTTTTTCACTATAGAAGAAAAAAAAATTACCTGAACAGGTCAGGTAAAAATATTTCGTGTCGTGCGAAATAAAGTATGCCGCAAACATTTACTCATCTTTGCTATGTGCCTATTTGGATGGAGTAGGAGGGGTCACTCTCGCCATGGCCCAGTTGTATGCACTCATCCGAGTGCTCATGTTGAGGAGCGTAAAAATATAAACCACGATTGGACCTCCCTCCACCCCCACGATGTCGCACGTGGAAGTTGAAACCCCCGGGCTGTTCAAAGGGAAAAAAAAAAAAAAAATTTATATATACAATGCAGTGCAATACAACGCAATAATGTAACCCGCGTTCATATAAAAGTGCTTCCCCCGTCCGTCAATCACTACTGGTAGTCTGCACTCGAACGAGGTGTGCACATGTGACTGGTCGTTGTCACCCCAGTGCAAACTTCCCACGCGTGTGTGTGAAGGCACATGGGAGGGGAAAAAGCTTCTTACACTGGGATGGTCTCCAATTAAAAAATACACAGAGAAGGTGGAAAAGAGTAACAAAAGAGAATTGAAGAGGAGGGATGCGGGTCCGCCCATTCAAGTCACGCCGCTCCCACACCATTCCGTTTAATACATAACAGAAGGATAGGACCACATTCCCAACACTATATTGCTTAATTCGCGGGGATGAAGTTTTTGTAGTGCTGATACGAAAAGTGCTTCAAACAGATCTGAGCCGATTCTGGAAGTTCTTTCACGTAGGTAGCGGGGCACCCAGCGTACTTTGCAAAGGAGGCAATGATGGTATCGTTAGGGATGTATGTATTGTCCTTTATAATTACATTGTCTTTTATTATTACTCGTTCTCCAACCACACAGTTGTCTCCTATAATGACATTGCTTCCAATAAGCGCCGCCTTGATGATGCATTCATTTCCTATGTACACATTGTCGCCAATGGTTAGGGTTACGTATGAGGTGCTTGTGTGCTCGTCTGTTTGGTTACTTGGGTCGTCTTGGCCGCTCTCCCCCTTTTGAGACTCCCTTCCTTGTAGGAAACAGGGACAGATGAGCGTCTTCGACCCGACGATAACGTACTTTCCAAAGTAAAGGCTACTGAGGTCCCCCCTCAACATGGCTCCGCTTTTTATAATGGACTTGCCTAACATGTGAATGTTTTTCATGCCACAGAGGATGGAGTCCCTACTGACTTTATTTCCGGAGGCAGTTAAAATATACTCCTCTCGGTTAAACGTTTCCGCTTGCTGGAACGTGGCTGTGTTGTATGTCTTCAGATATCCTTCACTCAGCAGGTTCATCAGGCGCGCGGGTCCTTCCTCCATGTTATTCATAATTGTGTGCACAAGGAGGTACTATATGCGTGGTGGGGTGAAATGTGGGACATATAAAACACATATAAAAAACGATTGAGGGGGAAGAAAAAAAAAAAAAAAAAAAAAAAAAAAAAGACGACGGACTTTTCCACAGACGTGCAAGGGGGGATATAGCGGCGAGGAGTTACTCAAAAAAGGGCAGTTGGTGTTTTCCCTTTATAGGTTGATACAAGCGGAGGTACACTTGTCCCATTAAAACAACACACATGAAAGAAACTTCATTTGACATAATCGTTGCGGTCTGTGTTGTGCACTTTGCAAGGTGCACATATGGATGTGCAGGCATGTGGACATGCGGGCATTTTTTTTTTTTTTTTTTTTTTTTTTTTATTTCCATTTCATCCCCCCCGGAATTATTCTTTTTAGCGAAGCAACACAGGGGTTGGCGACACGTGGCAAAGAACGGCCATGTGACCTTTACGCAGTTGTGAAATTGTTCGTTGGGAAACGGGAGAGGCAAATCAAGAAGGAAGGTAGAGAGGTCGCCAAGTGCATGATGTGCTCACATGGAAGAGGTGCAGAAAGGAAGCACCAGCATGTGACAAGAACGGGGCGCGCAAGGAAGAGAAGGCACCAACCTGATGGTGGATACGTGAAGTTCCACACAAGACGTTGATGAGGAGGGAAAAAAAAAAAAAAAAAAAAAAAAAAAAACTGATAAGAATGCTATGCGCGATCGACATTTTAATTTAAAAAAAAAAAGAAGAAGAAAACGAATAGGGAAACTTATCTGAAGGAATATTTCGTCAAGTAGAGATCCAAAAGAAAAAAAAAAAATTCAAAAAAATGATGCAAGTGAACCGAAGGAATGAAACGAACAATGCTTGTTGTGGAATGCCGGGGGACGCCGGGACAAGCAGGGATGAGGCCCCACTGATGGAACGACGCAGCGAGGACATGCCCACCTCCATCCACAGATATGAGAGAGTTTACATGAGCTACCTGCACTTGCAATTTTGTGTCGTGGACTTTGAGGATACCATGTTCATTTCAGTCACGGACGAACGCAACCAGTTAACAGACCTCCAGGCATCCTACCCAGTGAAATATGTAAGGAGAGAGCATAAAAAGGAGGGAGAGACGTGTGGAGAATGAACTGCCTCGCGTGGGGGAAGGACAAGAATAAGGGGGTGGTGTAACCCTTTCATGCGTGATGAAGTAGAATGATTAGCCAGCGCACAACATTGGAGACACTGTTAAAAGATACGCAGCGAAGTGCTTCCCCTTTTATTGTCCTTTCTGCGTGTACACCTCATTGGGGGGGATAAGAGAAACCCCTCAGTCACACAAGCAAATAATGATGCTGCTGCGATTACATAATTATATTTTATTTATGTGTTTATTTTTTTTTTTTTTTCTTTTCCTCCTGCCCCAGGTGGATGCAGATAACACGGCGTGTCTGGTGGGAGAGCCCCACTCACACGGAAACGATGTGGCGCGGCTGTTAGGTAAGACAGGGATAAGAGAGGAGGGACAGAGAGGAGACTCCTCACATAACCGCAACCCTTCGTCGCAACTTACGAAGGGTACCTATCCGCCATGCCCCCTTCCCCCCCCCAACTCTGCAGGCATGAAATTCAAGATCCCCTTCTACGTGAGCGTTAATGTTGATGAAGGAGATGAGGGCCTGACGAATTTTATTTTCTCCACCTGTTTGGAAATACTAAAGCCGTTGTTCAGTGATGGGAGACGTACCCGTGCGTGACGCTACAGAGATGTGCTTCCACGGTACATATTATTTGTACACATGTTCTTTTGTGTAACGCCCTCTGTTCAACATGGTGTAACCATTTCCTCTATTCAACATTGTGTAACCATTATGGAGGAGTGTGTCTTCCTCCGACGTAACTGTGCTGTCCCTGTACCACTTTACTTTTTTTTTTTTTTTTTCTTTCCACTTGTCATTTTTATTTTGCCTAACATTGAACCCCCCTTGATGAGGAAGTAAAAAAAAGGCGAGCCCAACGTGCCGCCACGTGTGATGTTTTAAACAAATGTTTGCTCTCCATAGCTGGGTAATTACATTGTATCGCTTAGCAGCAACATGTGGGTGTAGCTAGCTAAAAAAAAAAAAAAAAAAAAAAAAAAAAAAAAAAAAAAAAAAAA